TTTGCATGGGCTTAAAACTAGAAAAATGTTGAGGTTGAGTGTTATTATTACCGAATTTAAATGATGACAATGCGTTATGCGATTGTGAATGAGATGCGAGATTAGATCCAGACATTTTGTTTCTCATTTGGTACTGACTATGGAAGTTAACTTCTTCTAATACAGTGGAGAGCGCATCCTCTAATGAATTTGGGGCCGTAAGACGCACTACTCGAACTAAATGTTCCGGTAAATTGTACAGGAAAACGTTTAATGACGTATTTTCATAAATAGCCTTTTTACTACAACGCATATTTGAGTCCGATAACCGATTAACTTTGCCTATTAAAATTGATCTCAAAGATTGAATTCGACAGCAAAAATCTAAATAACTTTCTCCGGGTTTAATTCTTAAAGTCTCAAGTTCGATATTTAAACACTCCTCACTTCGCGAGTCTCCAAAATGCTGAATTAATAATTGCTTAAACTCATCCCACGTTTCGATATCATCGCGCTCCCCGACTAATGCAGCTGCATTGCCGATAAGGCGGCTTGTTATTGTATTCATCACGTACAAATTCTGTTCCGTCGTGCCAGTAAATTTAGCTATAACATATTCACACATTCTTAAAAATAGATTTAAATGACGTTTATCACCATCAAACGTAGGGATGATTTTAATCATTTCACCGGGAATAAGTCTGATATTCTCCATAATTATGTATTAATTTACACACACACACACACAAACAATAAAAATAAAATAAAATGTAAAAGAAATCTAAATATCACACAAAATTACTAAGAAATAAAATGTATATGCTTAATAAGACTATTTCTTTGTAAAAATATAATTTGTATATAATTTGTAAATTATGGAAATAGGTAAAACTTAAATTATTTATTACATACAATTATTTATTTAATTTTTAAACTATTTAACCAGAATACGTTAAAATGAGAGAAGTTCGATCTCAAGATAACAGAACGTCGAGGTAGTGGAAAGGATGGTGAAAAGTTCTACTCACCAGCCCCCAGCTGCTCTCATGGTTCAGGATCAGCTCCGCTTCCTTGACAAATTTCTTTGGTTCGAGGATCGTCTCGGTTTTTCTTCGCGCCGCGGACCTCCGATTACGACAGAGTTTTATATCGAATTCGCGAAGGACGCAACACTACCGAAGTGTGACGATCATACCGGCTGCGCCAGTCAAGATTACGGGAACGTAAAATGATTTTTTAAAAACTATTTAAAATCTATTTTATTTCTTAATACACTTATAATTATAACTACTTAATTAATACGTCTTGACAGAAGTCGATGTCAGAACGAAGTGGCCGCTCCCATGAGCTCTGCCTGATATCTCATGCAACCAAAAGCGCTGACTCTACAGTTACTGGATACTGTCTAATGCTTATGCAGCCCCTTCTAAATACGAACCGTAACAACCCTATGGTCTTGTGGTTGCATAACTAGATTCCTATTGGTTGCGCGGAAAACCATTCGTATTTATTTATTTGACGGTAGGCTTGCCACATCGTTTATCCCTTTCCAAACGATATCATTCATACCCTCCTATCGACACATCGGGGTGGTGGGGTGGGAGGGGAAAGAAGATGATTCTAGAATATTACGCAATCATCGCAACCGAAGGAATAAAAAGGCACGCGCGGCCGACGCGCGCTCTCTTCCCGCCGCGCTCGTCGTTGGAACCACACCGCTTAAGACAATAGTGTCCACGCGCACCGCTAGTATATCCGCTTAGCCTGGAAGCAGTCGAGCTCCAGGAAACCCGCCTCACCTCGTGTGAGAAATAGTCGCGCACCGCATTCTCTCCCAACGTATCACCGGACAAGAAAGGCTGGGGCCCCAGAGTCTACCCAGTGTCTTCCAGAAGTTGCAACAATATAGTGCCCAAGCCGCATAGAAGCAACACCCGGTGAGTGAACATTCCTAATAGTTCCTGCTTGATATAATTGTGTTTAATAGTTAATCCGCTCCAATTTTATTTTCTCCTAACCAAGCAGGATTCCTTTCATAGATTTGGCAAATAATAGTTCGTTTTAGGGAAGAGCGAGTGCATTGTATGGGAAACCGCGTGCTATAGTCGCCATTTTATGTAAACGTAGAAGCATTTCGCATATAAAGTCCACTTTGGTTAATATCTCGCGTAATAGGTTTTAAGGCTCGACCGGGGAATTGGACTAGCCTTAAGCTCGTCGCTCCACCACCTATAGTTTTTTTTTCGCAGGAGATAAAAATAACAGATCTTTATTAAGTAGATTCATTTAGCACGAATAATAGTTTTTATGATTCTGGTTTAGATTAGATTTAATTTTAGTCACTTAAGTTTCGTATATTGTTCAAAATAATTAAATAAATCCACAGAATGTGCAGTTACGAAAAATACGCAATATCATTTTTGTCTCCGGCGAAAAAAAAAATAGATAGATCTCATTATTAATTTACCAACTAGTTATTCGTTTACTAAATACGAAAAAATATCTAGGATTGCCCAGCCGTGATGCATTATAGATTGACTATATTATTATTTATTTTACTATTGTAAATAAGTACTAATTGTAGACATTGACAGGTTGTTAATTTCCGTGGTGTATTGTTGCTGACATAAATAACTCCGAAAATATAATTTATTTACATACTTGCTCGTATTGAGTTTTGGTGCTCTCCCTGCGAGTTTACTTTTTATGATCACTATCTTATGGATGAGTGCGAATTATTTACCTAATCTGTACAAAATTACTCTCTACTTAACTAGATTCATTTTTGTGAAAGGCTATTTTTGTTAAATTATGATATTATGTTTGGTTTTGCAGTTAATTGAAATACAATTTGTTTATGTTTGTTGTTGTAAATATTGGACGCTATATTACTAAAAACATGCATATTGTGCTCTAATTGGCGTCCGTATTGTGACCAACGCACATTGAGAACTTTCCACGCTTATGCTTGCTTGCATTTAAGTTTCTTTGGTTATATTTAGTAACTTGGGTAAATAAACTTGTGTAAGTTGATTAATGTACTTGACATGGATATTGAACGGAGTATTTACCCATATATGGACCTAAGAATATCCTAAAATTATCACACTAAGTTTTATTTGATGTTCACTTCTTCGATATCCAAGGTTATTCTTGATTATTGCATTTTACTATTATTTGATTATTTATTTTAATTATTTATTTAGCGCTCAAGGCATATTTTGGTATTTTTTGTCGGTGTATACTGTACTCAGTGCTAGTAGATAATTTTACTTTCCAATTTGTTTTCGTGTCCTTAAATTTAGCTACATATAATAATATGGACGTGCAAATATCTTAAAACATTCATACTGAATGATATTTGACGTACATATTTTTGAATTTTGTTATATTTCTATATGTGGACGTCAGATTATCGGTAAAGTTTAATACCGCACGATATTTGACGTCCATATAACCATAAATATATTTATATTTTAATTTCTTGTGTATAAGACACACATTAATGGTCATTACTTTAATGACATTTTTCGCTATTGTTTTATTTTGGTGTGGGGATCCTATGTGGTATGAAATAGTCACTTTGGTGTTTCATAAAATGCTCCATTCTAAAAACGATAAAACGCTTAGAAAACCTTTCTTATTTCTTTTTTGATAAATGTTGCCGTTTGTAGCGGTTTTTGGGGCACTGTGTGCCTAATTTTAACTTTAATTTTTGAATTTTGTTATATTTCTATATGTGGACGTCAGATTATCGGTAAAGTTTAATACCGCACGATATTTGACGTCCATATAACCATGAATATATTTACATTTTAATTCCTAGTTTATTAGACACACATTAATGATCATTGTTTTATTCGTATTCTAGTGTAGGGAGGACATGCGGTATAAAATAGTCATTTTAGTGTTTTATAAAATGTTTCGTTCTAGAAATGATAAAACGCTTAGCTTAGAAAACGTTGTGAAAAAATTAAATTCTATTTCAACTAACTGCAAAACCAAACATATTATCATAGTTTAACAAAAACAGCCTTTCACAAAAATAAATCTAGTTAAGTAGAGAGTAATTTCGTACAGATTAGGTACAATAGTCGCACTCATCCTTAAGATGCAGTGAGTTTCTTCGCCAGACCATATTAGGTTATTAGTCACAATATAATAAAAAAAAACTTCTATGAAACCTGTCAACATCTACAATTGAGTCCATCTTCCTGTACTCAATCAAAAAGTAACTTATTAAACAGAATTATGGGTTGCTTACGAAATACCTAACAAGAGTTCTTTTAGGCAGGTTAGTACCAAATATAAAACGTTAAAATATAGTGCAGCATGAAATAAACCGATAAGCTGACGTTCGCATCTACATTTATAAAAATATAACTACATTCAAAAATACGGGTGTCAAATATCATTCAGTATGAAAGTTTTAGGATATTAGGACGTCCATATTATATGTAGATAAATGTAAAGTTAAGAAAACAAGTTTGAAAGTAAAATTACTAGTACCAAGCGCAGCATAAACCATATAAAATGTCGTGCAGACCAAATTACGGTCACAGCGGCCTGCCTCAATGGAGAGTAGCCATCGGCGCAGGACAGGATTAGAGTGCCCAAGTGTATGCGCAACCGCAGGTGCACTCTGAAAATTTTTGCAACGAAAATTAGCGGAACTACGTAAATATTCAGTACAGCAAGATTGGAAGAAAAATGACGTCCAATTTTTTTTTTAGATTTTGACATTTCTGTGATCAGTATGACAATTTGCGAACATTGCGCTAGGTCTCCTATTTGACGTACGTATATTGGACGTCGTAAGCAGGTTGACGCCACATTATATGCAAAATTGGCCATAGTGGACGTACAATAAGTTATGGGATGCATATATATATATATATATATATATATATATATATATATATATATATAATAAAATATATTGATAGATATGTAACTGCAATATGATACTGTATATTCCCTGATTTTGTCAAGTTCTAGGAATTGAGTGAGTTTGAGTGTACCTTGGGGCGCGCCAGGTCGGCCAGTGCGTCGGAGAGCGACTTGAGCGCGCGCTCGGTGTGCGAGACGGCGCGCTGGATGTCGGCCAGCTCCTGCTCGGCCGGGTAGATGTCGGCATGGCGCGCCAGCACGTGCCGGTCGTCCGACGTCTCGCTGCGCCGCGCCAGCGCGCCGTACGGCACGCCCATGCCCTGCGCACACACCGCCGTCACACCACGCTACACACGATCCTGTGGACCTGCCCGCACCAACCCGCAACTTGCCCTGCCACACAAAACGCAGCAGACAACCTCTTCCGACCCACCCACACCTCACCACAACCACTTTTTCCTGCCACACAACACACATCATCCAACTGCTTCAGACTTACCCACTTCTCACCGCCATTGAAAATCCATCAATCGAAAGCCATGACGTATTTCCAGTATATCCCATATTCGTCTCTTACAACATCCGTAGGACAAAATGGAATGTTGCAATGGATGAACTATTTATCGGAAACCATGAAATCTAACTGGTATATCCCGTAATCACCTCTAATGGATGATCCACAGACACACAAATTAGTCAACCGCTATAGTCCTACCAACACTTCACCTTCTAATGAAGCCGTGGTATTAAAACATGGTTGTCACTTACATCACTCGCGGAATGAAATATGGTCTTAAGTTATCTGTCACTCTCGCCAAAGAGCACATAACAGAATCATAAAAATTCATATAAAAGTAATATTTTTTATCAAGTAAACCTTTTATCCACTTCTAATATAGCGAACCCCCCCCCCCCCCTTTTTAATGATAATAATAATGACTTCACCTAAGTGGAAGTTATTATTTATTAAAGTTATTAAGATTTGAAATAATTATCAAAGGCCATAAAGTTTTATAAATTTTTAGATTAGTCAAATAATACATTTCATGATTTTTTGATAAAATATATTACTTCTGGCTACCCTATATCTTTTCACCAATTTTCATTACAATGGGTTCAGCCATTTTAAAGATAAGCCTGGACAGACATCCAGATTTTTTAAAAATTGTTATTCAAGTCCTATTAACATGAAAAAACCGCTCAGTTCAAAAAAGACAGTTATTTCGATGTTATAAGACAGATTTTTATTTATATGTAAAGAAGATGCATAAATGATACAGACCACTCGCTCCCAGCTCTTCTTAAAATTTGCGAAATAATATAAATAAAGTGTTATACTTACATGATGATGGTGGTGTAGATGAGGCGGCAACGGTCCTCTCGGCCACCACGCCTCGGCGCCTCCCTCCCAATACGCGCGCTCTTCCTCTTCCATGCCCTGATATAAATATTTTAATTAGAAATATATATTGAAATAAACACCTAATAACAATTTGTAACCATATTATATTATATATATATATACAGGGTGTGTCCGGTAATGAATGGATAACCTTGAAATGTCTTATAGTACAACTTATGGCCGTCCTGAAAAAAATACGAAAAATAATATATCACAAGTAGTACCTTTGATATATTTTTTTTAAAGAAAAGTCGATTCCTTTCTACCTTATTTTACTGTCTTGAACACTATGACCAAAAATGAATGATTTCTATTGGTTTTTTGTTATATTATTATTATACACTAACTGTGCTTATAGGTAAAATGTAAACAATATGAATAGCTTTTGCAGTTTTTATTTAAAAAAATTCGCAAATCAATTTATTTCTGAAAAACATGCAAAAAATATTATTTAAGCGAAGTTCAAACCTCTTGGGTATGAAAAAAATGTATGAATGTATGGGTGACCAATAATTTTACAATAATATCGGTTTCGTGTAGATTTTATAATGGTATAATTCATAAATGTATCTTCCATAAATAGTGACTTATTGCCATTAATGTAGAAAAGGAGAAAATTTGACTAAGTAACAAAATTTGTAATATGGGAACATTTTTTAAATTGAATTGTCTCTGATCATTGGGAATTAATAAAAACACATCAGGAGTTGATCATACATGAAAACAACTATTTTTAAACAAATTAAAACCAAATTAAGTATTAGAAATTAACTTATTTAAATGTAATAAAATAACCAATTTAAATCTTGAAATGGTTACTTTACTAGCGTGAAATGGGTCGTGTGACCTTCATATTTGCTACCTGCTGCCTTTTGTGTTAGACAAAGAGAGGTCTGAATTGGGTAAGTGGGAGAGAGAAGAGCTAAATGTAAAAGAGAACTTAGTGCGTCACACGACCTGCTCGACTTCGCATGTATTTATTTTGTCTCCTTTGCAATTATTTAAATCAGTGTTAAAACGACCACTTGGCTATTTTACCCGACTATTTGATTTTCTTATTGATTTGGACTTGTTTTGCGTTTGGTGATATTTGCGACGATTTGGCTTGTTTCTGGACTAAACTGGACTTTTGTGTACCTATCAAAATGCCACGTCATCAGTACACGGCACAAGAATATGCAAACATGCATTTTATTTATGGAGAATGCAGAGGCAACGCAAATGCAGCCGCAGCTCTTTATAGGGAGAGGTACCCTAATGCTCGCCACCCAGACTGGCGTGTATTTATAAGAGTCCACGGTTGTTACTCTGAAGGAAGAATGCCGGGTAGTGGTGTCGGTGGTGCTAGCGCTGGAAGAATCGCTCGTCCTGATGTAGAAGACGTGGTGCTTGAGGATATTGAAAACGATCCTTCAACCTCTACGCGAGCAATAGCTCGACGCACAGGTATTGGAAAATCGACCGTACACGATATTTTAAAGAAAAACGAATTCCACCCTTACCACGTTACACGCGTGCAAACTCTCCAACCAAGAGATTATCTCTCAAGAGTGCGTTTTTCCCGGCAAATGCTGGCAAAGATGGAAGAAGACCCGCAATTTTTTTAATAAAATTTTGTGGAGCGATGATTCAACGCTTAAAAGAGACGGTTACTTAAATTTACACAATTTACATAGTTGGGAACTAGAAAATCCCCATCTTATGCGTGAAGACAGGTCACAATACCAATTTAAAATAAATTATTGGACCGGAATATTAAATGGTATGATAATTGGCCCATTTGAATTACCGGGGAATTTAACCGGGCAAAGTTATTTGGAGTTTCTTCAAAATGATCTCCCCAATTTATTACAAGAGGTTCCCGAGGAGCTGAGGGAATCGTATTGGCTGCAAAATGACTGTTGTCCTGCGCATTATGCTGTTCCGGTTCGTGCATATTTAAATAGCAGATACCCAAATAGATGGATCGGACGCCTAGGGCCAATTTTGTGGCCTCCACGTTCACCGGATCTAAATCCATTGGATTTTTTTTTACTGGGGCTGTCTGAAAGAGGAAGTATACTGTAAGCCCGTGCGGTCTTTGGACGAACTACGCAGTCGTGTCAGAGAAGCCGCATCAAAAATATGCGAGCGACGGTACACTAGACTGCTCAGAAGATCATTTATCCGAAGATGTAGGGCATGCATAAGAGTGTCAGGCAAACAATTTGAACATTTGTTGTAAATTAACGAAAAATAAAATATTTTAATTTTAAATGTTGTTTTTTATTAATCCCCAATGATCAGAGACAATTCAATTTAATAAATGTTCCCATATTACAAATTTTGTTACTTAGTTAAATTTTCTCCTTTTCTACATTAATGGCAATAAGTCACTATTTATGGAAGATACATTTATGAATTATACCATTATAAAATCTACACGAAACCGATATTATTGTAAAATTAATGGTCACCCATACATTCATACATTTTTTTCATACCCAAGAGGTTTGAACTTCGCTTAAATAATAATTTTTTGCATGTTTTTCGGAAATAAATTGATTTGCGAATTTTTTAAATAAAAACTGCAAAAGCTATTCATATTGTTTACATTTTACCTATAAGCACAGTTAGTGTATAATAATAATATAACAAAAAACCAATAGAAATCATTCATTTTTGGTCAAGTGTTCAAGACAGTAAAATAAGATAGAAAAGAATCGACTTTTCTTTAAAAAAAAATATATCAAAGGTACTACTTGTGATATATTATTTTTCGTATTTTTTTCAGGACGGCCATAAGTTGTACTATAAGACATTTCAAGGTTATCCATTCATTACCGGACACCCGATATAATATATATATATATATATATATATATATATATATATATATATATATATATATATATATATATATACTGGTCGTCAAAAAAAATCGACCCACCCATTTTTTATTTGAAATTTATCGATTGTTTCACTTTTCCACAGGCATATGTTTGAACCTTTTACTAAATCTTAAAGGTCTTACAATTTTTTATACAGACTACTTTAGGTTCTCGTAATCTAAGTTTAACTGAGCACTTTATTTTCTTTATCTACATTCTCAAAAGCTTGTCATATTGTCGGGTTTCTGCAGTGCGACGAGTTTACCAAAGGTTTCTGGAGACTGGGCAGTATCGAAGAAGATCTAGATCTGAAGACATAGGGTGACAACTCAAAGAGATGACCGATTTATAGTGTTATCAGCTCTACGAAATCTGCACCTATCTGCCAGCCTGCCAGCGACGCTTACGTGAAGATCGATGTGTACTGTGAGAAGGAGACTTCGTGAGCAGAATTTAAGACCTCACAAGCCAATTCAATTCTTCAATTTGCGCGTAACCACATCAACTGGACTATAGGCCAATGGGAGTCAGTTCTTTTTAGTGATGAGAGTCGAATGACTTTATACGGTTCTGACGGACGCCGTAATGTCATGCGACGACCAGGTCAACGTTATACCCAGTGTTGCATAAGAGAAACTGTCAGTTATGGTGGAGGCTCTGTAATGTTTTGGGCTGGGATATCTTCGACTGGACGCACTGAGCTGGTTTTCATACGAAGAGGTGCTTTAACTGCAGCACGCTACATCACAGAGATCTTAGAAGACCATGTGGTGCAATACGCCGGCTATATGGAGAGACCTTTGAATTAATGCATGATAATGCACGACCACACGTAGCGCGCATCACAACCGATTACCTTGAAGAAGTCTGCATTCGGGTTATGTCATGGCCAGCAAGAAGCCCTGATCTCAACCCTATAGAGCATATGTGGGACACCCTAAAAAAAAGTTTAAAGCCCGTAATCCAGTCCCTACAACATTAGGAAACCTTGAAACCGCCATTAGGGAAGAATGGAACCGAATCCCTCAAGAGACCATCAAAATCTTGATAAGGTCATTAAAACGGCGAATGCAGGCTGTCATTCGAGTAAGAGGAGGGAATACGCAATATCAAATTGCAACAAATGTGTACATAAAATTCAATACATAAAAACTAGAGCGTATTGAAAATTAATAAAAATAATCGTGAAAATTAAAGATTTTGGTTTTTAAATGAAAATTACTTTCAAAAAATCATTTTGATGTTGTAACTGTGATTAAATTGGTGTACATAAACAAGTTAAATAAAACATTTCAGTACTTGAAACGTTTTGATTGGTTCCTGCTTTAGAAAAATGTGATTTGCGGCAAAAACGCACGTGGGCCGATTTTTTTGATGACTAGTGTGTGTGTGTGTGTGTATATATATATATCGTCATGATCGTAGAATAATGACGGTTCTAAAAAAACCACGAAATTCACTTTTTACCATATTTGGATACTATATTGCCTAAATATTATTACTACATTAAAGAAAAAATTATATGTATTTCGGATTTCAAAATAATCAGTCGGTAAATAGACGGATTTGATAGGTACTCATAGTAAAATGACATTTGTATATACTCGTCATTATTCGACGCGCGGGGATCTCCCGCCATCCTCTCCCACTCCCGACGAATCCGCGCAATCGTCACTTTTCGTCGAACTCGCTCACGCGTTGCAGCGGATTAGATTTTTCTTAAACAATTTCACTAGTTTTACTTTATTTGCCTGTTTGTTAGCTATTGCGTGCCTAGTTTTTTTACATATTATATTAAAAGGCGTGCCACAATGAAAACAGGACGATCAAAGCTTATGTTAAAACTTGTGGAAGAAACAAGCAAAAATTCGAAAAGTACGGGTTTTACTCATGATGAGCGCATGGATGAGGAGGACTGCATACCAGGGACTCCAGGTAAGTTAATGAATTATGTATTAATATTATAGTATTACTTAATTCTTGTATTTACACATATTTTGCAAAGTAAATAAGTAAAGCGTCGGTTCTGAGTATCCGTCGGTTTTCTACGGAAAATATAAATCAATATAAAATGTAATTTTTATAAAAATAATATTTGCTCGCTGATATTACTACAATTATTATGTTGAGTTTTTGTTATATATGAGAATTTAAATTTTCAAGTTGTATGTAACTATATTACATTTTTCTATGGACATGATAGTGACGCGTGGTTACAAACGCCGGTATTTTGTGGACACGCTTTTTTGTCTAACGGTCGTATCTGATCATCCCACTTTTTTCTTTGAAATAAATTCACTTCCGCCATTTTTCTGTTGAAAAACTATGAATATTTGTATATATTTAATATATTTTTCTTTAAAAAATAATCGGATTTGAGTAAAAATTTACCTGTATAAATAAAAAGAAGTACTTTTTTATACTTTCTAATCTTTTTATTATGAATAGTCTTACCGTTTTTAGTAAATGTTAACCTGTGATATTAATAATCTATTTATTTTTACATATACTGATATCTTTTCAGAATGCCATTCGCCATTACCTCCAGGAGCACGCAACGTAATAGAAGAGATGATGAATCGACATTTGTGAAGATGTCTTTTCAGATGACGTACACGGAACAAGCGAAATCATAAAATCAACAAATGAAAATATGGACCCGAACATACCATCATCTACTTGTGTTCTTGAAGAAGATCCTTTTATGGCCGTGTATGAAAATGCATCCTCACCATATTTACTCGCGTCAGAAAATCAGCATGGTGTCATGTCCCTCTTAAATATCACCTCAGATCTAACCCCTTTAAATACTTCTACCCATATATCAGACCTGTCACCTTTCCCGCAACCGATTACCCCGACTGTTGACAACAATGGACAAACACCTATGCCATCACCAGTAAAAACTCATGGTGAGGTATGTAATGACTTTTTTTTGTTCCACTCACGATGGTGCAGACATAGCAACTGTCAATCAAACAAGCACAGCTGTGTCTTCATTTTCTTCAGTTGTCTCCAGCGCCTCTTATTCGATGTAGAGAACAAATTATGACGATTGAGAGAAATTAAAAGAAAACGCTTAGCAAATGCAGGAAAAGAATACATCTCCAAAAAGGGCGTTATTGTTCAAGCAAAAACTATAGGTAGGCCTTGCACGTGTAGATATAAATGTTACACTATGTTGACTCTCGAAGAAAGACAGGATGCATTTGAAAAGTTTTGGAAGTTAGGTGATCGAGAGAAACAATGGTTGCATGTTGCGAATTATACTACAAAACAGAAGAAGAAAAGGGGCCTTCAAAGAGATTTAAAACATAACCGTCAATTTACTTACAATTATTTTTTGCCAAAGGGCTCATCAAAAATAGAGGTTTGTAAAACCATGTTTTTAAGTACGTATTCGATTAGCGAAAGGTTAGTTCGGACAGCTTGGAATAAATATGACGGAAGCACTTTAATAGAAAAAGACATGAGGGGGAAACATAAAAATCATAATCGGGTTATTGACGATGAAATGGTAAAGTCGGTTTGTGCCCACGTTAATTCATTTGTACCTGTAAAATCTCAATATAACAGAGCAGCGTCCAAACGACTGTATTTAGATGGTGACTTGAGCATCGCTAGGATGTTCAATTTATACAAAGATTGGCCTGAACTTAACTATTATTCAGAATACAGCTTCCAGTCTTAGACAGTACAGAGACATAGTTAACAGTCATTTTAATTTGAGTTTTCATCTACCCAAAAAGGATACTTGTGATCAGTGCCATAGTTTTAAACTAACACAAAATCCGCCTGATGAACTTAAAGAACAGTATGCAAACCATTTAAATAGCAAAAAAGTGTCTAGGATCTTGAAACAGAATGATAAAAATGACGCTGTTAATTCTAATGGACGCATAGTTTATGCTATCTTTGATTTTCATAAGGTTTTGTCATGTCCTCACGGGCAAATGAGTGTATTGTATTACAAGCGAAAGCTGTCATGTTATAATTTCACCATATACGATATGATCGGCAAACAAGGTTATTGCTATATGTGGGACTTCATAAAGAAGTTTGTATCAAAAGGTGTGAAAGAGTTTCGATTCTGGTCAGACAATTGCGCTGGCCAGAATCGAAATCGCATAGTGTTTATTATGTATGCTCATGTAGCTAAAGAATATGATATAACTATAACACATAGATTCTTTGAAAAAGGCTTCTGTCCACAGTGTGATAGAAATGGCTGCTGAGCATAAAACAATTTATACACCAGATGAATGGAAATTACATGTACGTTGGGCTAAAGTAACAGGTGATTCTTATGAAGTCATAGACGTAAATCAGTCTTTAGTGTTTTACTTTAAAGATCAGCTAAAAAATAAAAACTGGGTAAAAAATACAGTTAACTACAAAGTTACTTGGACAAGCATAAAAGAAGTTTGTGTCGATGGAACTCAGAGCAGTAAAATCCGGTACAAATATGCTTTATCTGATGACTACATGGACCCTGGTACTTCGAAAGGAGACTAGACAATACAATAATCCAATCTTACATAAAGCTTACGTGGGGCCAATTCCAATCAGTAACGATAAATATAAGGATCTTATTAGCCTTTGTGATTCTTCAATAATACCTACCAAATATCATAACTATTTCAGAAGTTTACCTTATGGGCGTAATGTTTCTGATAATAACAATGAATCTGATTGAATAATTGTGCTAAAGAATTGTGTTTAATAATCTTAATTTTTACTGTTTTGATCTCTGAAGTTGTGAATTTTAAGGATTTATTCATTTAATTACCGTTTTTACTACCTTATCTACTTATAAAATGATTGTGATAATATAACTTGGCTAACAAATGGTTAGTGTTTAAGTTTTAGATTAGTAATTTACCAAAAAGGAAGAAATCAGGTCCAAATAGCTTCAACATTATAGTCTTCTTAATCTATGTAGTACAAAATAATGTTGTTTATAATTTCTTAATACAAATTCAGTATAAAGACTAGACCAAATAGTCTGTTTTATTTATAAGATACCCTACCTACCCCAACCTACTTACCTACTGTACTATTTACTTATCGAACACCTGCCTACCTTCTTACTCATGGTCAAACTAGAATATAACAGATAACACATCCGCCAAAATATTTCAATAAACGAACCATTGTTTGAACAGTAACTTTCCGAAGAAAAATGTCGGATAATACTATGTGACTGTCTTGACTCCAGTAAAAGAAGCACATGATTTTTCAGGAAAACTGTATAATTAAAAGTTATTGTTTTTATTCCAGTTTAAAATAAACCCCATTTTAAACTGATATGCCAATTTTCATAATTACAGATTTAGAATTAAAAAAGTTATGTCAAAAAATCTAACATAATTATTTGAAATGGCTGCCCTGTAAAGTTTAATAATTGTCAGATCCGTCACTATTCTACGACTATGACGATATATAGACTACTCTTTTATATCAGTTGAATATTTTTGAACTGATGTTATCGCATCTAAATTACGTTTATATTGCTGAAGTTTTGACTGTTTTGTAACACCCATGGTCATGGGGCTGCTTTCTATTCATGATCGATTCATAGAAATAGAAGTCCAGCTTGAGTTTCTTGCCAGGTTTGGTTCTTCCCAGGATGTATTTTTTGAACCAGTGGTAAATTAAACACATTATTTTATTCCAAAATACTCACATCATGCATACGTCGCCTCGCCCATAACTCGTCACGGACTAACATCCGTTGCGCCTTGGCCTCAGCCAACTTACGCTGGTGTGTTGATGGCTTGACTTTGACTTCTAAATCTGGTTGAACCTAAAAAAGATATTTTATTTGATAGTTTAAATTTAAAAATAACATAAGAATAAAATTTAACTGTATAGTTTTTTATTTATTTCTGGTTTTAAAAAAAATATAGGGGTATAATATAAAGAAAAAAAAAAAAAAAACCCAGAAAACCAATTTTCTTATTTATATATTGGTTGTGGGTTATTTATTGTGTTAGCTATTTTAACAATAAATTGCTCATCCTCATTTGCAAGCTGTTATCATGCGATACTCGGAACTCTTGGCAACCATTTGCAGCCGCCAGGCTCGACGAGCACCTCAAACCTTTTACTAAGTAATCATTGGATGGCACTTTCAACTGACTACTATTAAATTATGAAAAGTTAATAAAAATATAAAATCTGTAACCATTATCTTTTAATATTGTCAATTAGGTAACTACTAACATGATAGCTCTGGATATAAGCACACACCAAAAAACTTTATAGTACACGCACTCAGAGTTATGAACTCTGAGAATGTATTTCTCATCATCATTTTTCGTTCGCAAGCCCACGGCAAGTCTCCCTCCCCCCACAGGAATGTCTCGCAAAGCACGGTCTTAAGCCATCTGCATTCATTGTGTTCCTGCGTGTCTTACCATTTCGTCACTTCCTAGTGGGGGGACGCAAAAATTTTATAACCAGTGCATTAGCCAGCAATAAAATTTTAAGTGCTAACTCCACAAGTACGACAATGAAGTAAAAAAATCCTGAGTAAATCTGAAGACTAAGAATTAAAAAAAACTCTACAAAGATATGCACACCCTGCCAAATAAGCATTGGTGAGCAGACACTTCTTCACACTAAATCTCTCTCATTTAAAGGCTCGTGGCCAACAGAAGTAAGTAGCAAGTACAAACCTTCTTCTTGTACTGCAGGCGATGGCGGCGGCCCTTCATGTGCATCTCCTTGGCGTTAGGGTCGTTAAACTTGCAATCGCACAGCTTGCAGTTGAAGCTGAGCGCCTTGCCGTCGTCGCCGCGGATCTCCTCGATGTAGTCCTGGCCCACTGGTTGCACCTCGGGCTCGGCGTCGCCGTCCTCCTCCTTGTCCTCGCCTTCCTTCTCCTTGTCTGCTTCACACGGTTTTCCCTCTTCATTGCCGCTCCCGACCGTGCTGAGCTCTCCCGACGCCACGAATGCTATCTTGGGCGTACCGGCCACCGTCTTTTTCGCTGATCGGAAAAGTCAAATTTTCTCTCACTTTGCAAAGTTACATAAACACAGAGGAACCTTTTTTTTTAAATTAAACAAACACTACAGAGGTTGATAAAAAAGGTCCACCAATGTCACACTCCATATCTGTACTGAGTGTTAATAATTTTGCAATTTAAGAGAAAATTTGACTTGTATTGAACAATCTACGAGCCTACTTGTCGCAGATACAGATATGATATTGTGGCGTCACGAGAAGTCAGCACGGGTGCGAGCTTGACAAACATGTCCTCTTAGCAACGTAAGTTCCGTATTCAGAGGACATATTTGAATCTTTATAAAGAAAAAATAAATCAATACCAAATGAAGGCACAAATACATGATTGATCTAATCAGTGCATTTCACAGGAAACAATCATTTCAAATTGTAAAAAATATATGAATGCTATAAATGCCAATGACAATTAAATTTTTAAGTACATTCTTTTCCACATATTTCCTGTAAAATTGACCTGAAAACATTACAGAATTGTAAACTACAACATTTAGCTTAAAAGTGATTACTGTGTGAATTAAATAAAAATATATAAGGTAGGATTAAAAAATTGAAAATAACAGTGCATGTACGATTCATTTTCTCATTAGATTATTAAATTGTGGAGCCATACCATTATCATTACAACCCATAAATAGTCCACCGCTAAACATTGGCCTCCCCCCATTGATTGCCTTATAACCAAGTGTTGCAACTATGACAAAATCACCCCTATCAGTAAATCAAAGGTAGGCAGGCTTATGTTCAGCAGTGGACTACAATAGGTATGGTAATGATGTTGGTGTTGGTATTGTGTAGTGCAGCGGTGCAGGGCGGGTACCTGGGTGCGGCTTGGCCGGCTCGGCGGGCGGAATGGGCTTGCCGAGCATGGTGTGCAGCTTGAGCACCTTCTGGTGCTTGATGCCGCGCACGTGCGCCGCGAAGGCGTCGGCGCCGGTGCACGTGACGTCGCACAGCTCGCAGCGCAGCGCCGAGCCCGCCGCGCGCCCGCCCGCGCCGCCGCCCGCCGCGAACAGCTTCACCGCCGCCTCCTTCTTCTTGTGCTTCTGCCCCTCCAGGTGCTCCTTGTACGTCTGCGCGAACACAACACACGTACACATTCTAGGTCCACCTGCAGCTGTGCTGCTTGCATGTCTGTGCACACGCACACCACACACGCTAAGAAGACTCAGTATACTGGAAAAGGATTGCACTCTCACAGAATACTAACATGAAATGTATAGTCAGCGTAAAAGGAAACTGCACTGATCTTTATATATGGACTGGCTATACACCGTGACATAATAAAGCGATTTGATTTGCGCCATATTGGCGCTGAAGTAAACGTCCACGGAACTAATAATAGAGATAAGACAGTGTGACAAAATATATCGATAAAAACTCTATACCCCACCTATACCTAAATAAATAGAATGGATGTTAAGGGTAGGCCCCTACCCATATCCCGTAATGTCCATTCTATTTATGTATCATACCAATATATTGCCATCATCATTTATCATCATAACAGCCCTTCACAAGTCCACTGTTGAACATAAGCTTTCCCCAAGGATTATGCAACAAAGCACGGTCCTTAGCCACCCATATATATCAACTTCCTGCATGTCTTACCAGGTAGTCACTCCATCTAGTGAGGGGACATCCTACACTTCACCTGCTGGTACGAGGCTGCCACTCGAGAACCTTTCTTCCTCATCGGTTATCCCTTCTTCGAGCTTCGGCCGGCACATTGCCACTTCACCTTACTAATCCGTTGGGCTATGTCGGTCACTCTGGTTTTACTGTATATATACCTAAGTTTATCACGCGAAGAAACCCTCTCCATAGCTTACTGAGCGTCTTTGAGCTTCCTCAAAAGGACACAGGTAAAGGACCACGTCTGAGGATAGACGAGTGACACATCGCCAATCGCCATACCAACACTCCTCTTCTCTTGTGACTCCACCTCGACTGCAGCGATACAGGGAGAGAAATCTCCTCTAGCCGCAGCCCACTAACACACATCCAAGGGCTCGACAAGTCCACTCAGAGTAACCACCTTGGACCAGTCATGTGAGTCTCCTACTTTCTCATCTAAACTCACGCAAACTCACTGACATTAATAATTTTGCAGTCACAATATAAATTTATTCCTTGATATAATGACCTTTCTACACTTCCCTAACAGACGAAATAAAAAAACATTCGAAATAATAATCCAATATTATTGGTAATGGTACTACCAGAAAATAATGTCGGTATACTGCACTATTTCAAAGTGGTGCGTCTCTATTTTATTAGAAATGCTAATAAAACAGTTGTCTGTGAAATGTTTAGAACAAAGATGATCATTTAGTTTCGGACGTCAATTCACAATATTTATGCTTTTAAGTCATACTTTTAGTCTAGGTTCAGTTGAAAACCTGTTAATTAATAAACATTTGATAATTATGTGTTGTCGGCGACTCTGGTTGTTAACAGATATGGGTAGGAAAGAACATCGATAAGTTTTATACACAAGGAACTCTACAACACTATAGAGATTTATAGTTTATCAAAACTCAGTAATATAAAGCCAATTTATGTTGGTAATTACGTTATTTTATTTTACCAAATATTTTTAATTTGTTTAATATTAGCTATAAAATCACTTGTGGAATGTTATATCACTTTCCTTTTAGTAAGGTCCTCATTACACACATTTACGTTATTAAAAATAATTCCTATTATGTAACTAAAATTGTATACAATCAAGCCACACAAAATACTTGCGTTTTTTAGTTTAAAAGTTCAAAATACAGATAAGATTTAAATAAGACAATGGACTTTGTTACATTATGTCAATTTTAGTTACCCGTACGGAAAATAGAGGGCGCTTCAAATCGCCACAGACATTTTGTATGTTATAGCCAGTAACAGCGTACTTGTGTATATATAGAGGTCGGTGGCAAAATGAGATCCTTTTTTTTACTGGAAACGAAACAATCCATCTTAGTCCTCAGAGGTTACAATGCATCTGCATTTGATTCCTAATTGAGAATAATTAAAAACTGCGTCGATTGCCGTAAACCGTACCAAATAGGTTGATTTCTTCGAGTGATATCAATTTTTTTTAAATGAACAAACATGATTTTTCAATTATTTATCAGATCCGATTTCTTTCTGAGAATTTTGGTAAAGCTCTCTTAACCATGCTAAATGCCGGCAAGCGTTCTAAAATCAGATGATAAGTCCGGAAGTTGGCAGCTTAAATATTTTAAAAAAAGTGTTTTACTGAATATAAACTAAATTTTTTCAAACCCTAACAGGTGAAACTTGAAGCGCTTTGCATTTGTAATTAGCGGGAAGTTGCGAGGATGGCCTGTAGGGGTAAATCATATTTTAATTATAATAATAAGTATTGCAAAACTTAAGAAAAAGCAAGTTTTATTCATTATTATTTCCTCTTAATATTGTGTGCTTAAATACGTGCTTTTCTACACATATGCGGTTAAAAAATAATATATCAAATTTAACAGGACGGGAGCATGATCTTGTCAAATCAACAATAAAGCCCAAACTCTCACATCGCGTGTATGCGTGCATGTGGAAAAATACCTAAACCAGCAATACAATTGGCAATCCATGTATGATACCAAGTTTAATTTTCTATAGCAAATTATTTTTTAAATTGTTTAGACACATATCCAGGTGTCACAGTCTACTATAGATTAGTAACGAAAAATTTCCTTTACAATTTCCAGCTCACCTGTGGTCCAGCGCAGGAAATTCGGCAGACGTCGCAGTAGTGCAACTGCTGGGCTTTAGGCGGCGGCTTGGGGCGCCGCTGTTGTCCGGCGCCTACGCCTCCTTTATTGTAATTCTTCCAACCACTATGAAAATATATTTATATAAGTATTTTATTACCACGTGCTCGGCGGTGAAGGAAAACATCGTGAGGAAACCTGCATGTCTGAGAAATAAGAAAAAAAATATTTCGAAGACGTGTGAAGTTTGCCAATACGCATTGGAGCAGCGCCGCGGACTATTCCTTGCCCTAAAACCCTCTCAGAAATGAGAGGCCTGTGCCCAGCAGTGGGACGTATATAGGATATAACTTTAAGTATTTTATCATTATACATAATAATAGTTCAGTATTAATAAAAATGGATCAAAGATTTTTAAATATTTTTTGGGGCTAAAATATTATTTAAAACATGTACTGCATGTGTACTTAAACCATTACATTTTGCCTAAATATTCAATGGTCCATACTTTTCGACATGATTTAAAATTAATAAGGGTAATTGCTTATATTTCATAATATGAAACTAAACTCCTGTGAAGATATAATTTTAGTGTAAGAAAATATAATCCTTACCCGCCGCCGCCGGTTTTAGTTTGTTGGGCGACGTACATGGTGGCAGCGTTGTAGAGAGCTGTAATACAATTAAAACAGTAAATTATCCATTTTTAAAATTAATGCCTACAGACAACAATAGGTGTTTAGCAAACTTAAACTATCCAATATGTGTATGTGTCGTGTCGCATGGCGGCCGTGGAGGCCGTGTACACATGAACGCATGTGTAGTGAGTAGTGAACAGTAGAGCAGTGTGTAGGAAGGTATACGTACGCTTGGCGGGCTGCGGCGCGGGCGCAGTGTAGGCCTGCGTGGGGTAGGAGGTGGCGGCCGTGGTGGCCGTGTACACGCCGCCGTACGCCTTCGCACCGCCGCCGCCGCGCGCGCCGCCCTGCACACGCACAAACTTATATTACTATGTATATGTGTGTGTACATGTACGCACAATGTATATAGATAACAAGAAACTAATGGGTATTACTCTAAGCCCCCACTCATACGAACGATTAAGTGCAGCCTTGAGACTTCCTAGTTTGAAGATAACCAGAATACGACGACAAATCTGGACGCGTAAAATGCAACTTCAAAGGCACGTTCAGTAAAGATCGACTATCCAAATAAAATTGAGCGATGCAGGTGGTTCGCTAGATTTCTACTACAGATTGTGGTCTTTTCAAAACTCTGGAAGTATACCAGTTATATATCACTTCTCTCGCCTCTGTCTACAATGATCAAAAACAGGGCGAAATTACAACCAAGAACCGAAACTCTGCTGACAACCCCAATAATAAACTCAGTTGTAAATCGAGAATAACTGAAATAGGGCGTGGTAGTCTTGCAGCCGTAAACTGGAATGCTGGTCGTTAGTCCGACTTAAACGGTACTCTTATTTAAATACGACGAAGTAAATAATGTTATTAATAAATGATAATAAAGATAAATAAAGATTCATAACAACTCGCGTGAAAGAACATATCGCTGATGTGAAGAATGTTCACGATTGTACCAACCATTATATCAGAATTGAAAGACCACAAATCCTCGTAAAAGAACATCAATCCGTACCAATTATTCGATTAATTAAAAATCATCCTAATTTCAATAGAGAAGATGGCCAGGTGCTACTACCTGCTTGGGACCCCATAATTAATATAATTAAATCCAAACCCAAGCATAACACTGCAAGACTTCAAGATACTGTAAGCTTATTCTGCGTAGATTGGACCAAAAATTAATATTCGAAAACTGAAGGTAGCCCGGGCTAACTATTGACATTGGGACAAATCAGTCGCCTCCATGACCACGGGTGCTGTAAAGCACCTGAAAAGGTAAAGTAAAACCTTTTACTAGCATCATAAATGGAGCAGAGTCTAGTCATAACTATCTTTATTTCAACAAAAGATTCAATCAAATGGTGTAACATTGCACAGATGTAAATTAGCGAATTAATTTATAGTAAAAAGAAAAAAATTCTAATTCAATATTTATTGTTTACAAACCTTGTCTGCGTTGAGCTATATTATATTGTGTAAATTTACCTACGGGTCACGGAGATAGATTTCAAAGAATCGTTTTCTTGCGCCATGGCAGCTCCGCACCAAAAATGTCGGTACTGAGTAGCAACAGTTTACATGTAGCATACCTTAAAAATGTTATTTGCCACCTCTAATATAATAAAGCTACAAATCAAGCAGCATGTACTCTTTTTTGTTTATTAGCAGAAATGAATAAAGTACAATACCAAAGTATTTTTATACAGTGATTCACTGGATCATATAAGAGACAAATTTATTATAAGAGAATTTTAGGCTTGTCCTATTTTCTGATCCCGGGCACAACATTAAGTTACTAGGTTACTAAGTACCTCTCAATTAAATAAGCTTGGAGATAATAAGAATATTTTATTCACTACTTTTCCTCTCACTAATATTGTTGTTCATTGTTATAGGAGTTGGCTAAAGTCCAAGAGGATTTTGACCTTCCCCATGTAACATCAATCACTAGCTGTTCTTCTCGCCATGCCTCATTTATTTTATTCATAGCGAGCTTGTAAGCTTGATTATTACTATAAAGAAGACAACTGAAAGTAACAATACATATCTTAATTGTATGTGTAAATATAATTTATTATAAATAGTTGTGTGGTTGTGTTACTTATAAGAATGTAAAAATTTTACATTATAACAATTTCTAAATAGAAATTAACAAATATTAATGCAAATAGTTATTCAATTATGTTCATCCTAGATGAAAAATATGATTGAAAATTAAATAATTAACACACACTGAAACTAATTATAAATAATATAATATTTACCTGACATTTATTTTGAAAATACTTAAAAATATCTTATTTATCATCACCATTGTCATCATTATCATTACAGCCTTTCACAAGTCCACCGCTGAATCTATATTCAGTAGTTTTTTGAATTATCACCATTTTATATGGATACAAAGAAGAGTGAAATGAAATCTATTATTGAATTGATAAATTTACTTTTAATGGTGCGCAAGCCGAATCCTAAAACCGATCGTGCCGCTCGCTCGTGTACCGCTCTCATTCCAATCGTAAAGTTACAATGAGCGTAACGTTACAATGAGTCACTCATGCGTACAGCCGGCGTTCATCGATTTAATAAACGTTGTCACGTCAAAATCAATCGAAGAGCGCCGAAATCGAAATCAAAATTTGCATAAATAAAGGAGTAATCTTAGTGTACTGCCATATCTTTTTTTAAGTACAGTGGATTTCGGATATAACGACGATAAAGGGACCACTCTATTTTCGTTGTTATATCCGGAAGTAGTTACAGGCAAAGGTAAAAAGATACCAACACATACACATGTATAGTTTATATTCATTTATTATTGAAAATATTTGCACACATAGTTATTCACTGGTACACTCAGAATATCACTTTGTAACTAAACCATAAAACCATTATTAACAATAATCCATGACAACTTCAAATTACTTTTTATATACTCAAGCTCACAGTTAGGTATGTTTTCTCTGGATTAGTGGATCGCTAGTTTAAACCTTTCAGATTTTATAACACCAAATATAGACAGAGTCCTAAACCCTAAACATCAATACCATGTATTGACCATAAAAAACATGTGTATTAATTACCTAAATGAACATTACCTGAATTATCTGAGGATATTTACAGATGGTTCGAAAGATACTTTCGGAAACGGTGCTTCATTTTACGATATATTAAATGGTATGGCAATAAAGTTAAAAATTAATACTAATATTACTATTATGGAAGTTGAACTTATAGCAATCTATGAAGCTTTATCCTATACACAATCATGCAATTATAACAATGTGGCTATTTTAACAGATTCAAGGAGTGCACTTCAACACCTTGCTCAGTGTACTTCGGTTTTTCGAGGCTTACCAGTAGCATATGCGATTTTAAAGCTTCTAGTTAAGTTACAGGCTGACTCCATAATAGTATATTTACAATGGATACCTTCACACATTGACTTAGAGGGTAATGAAAAAGCTGATATTTTAGCCAAGCAAGCTATTTCGGAAGGCACTGATATTAATATTACCTATTCATTTCAAAATTATATACCATTATTAAGAAAATATTGTTATGACCTTTGGAAGGAATATTTTGATATAAGAGCAAAAGAGAAGGGTATATGGTACCGTACGATCCAGCCGTACCCGATGCGCTCAACCTGGATAGATAACCGAATATTGTGTTGATGTGACACTGTATTAGCATTAAGACTCAGATCTGGGCACATTCCATGCAATAAATTTCCATACTTGATGCGAAAAACTACCTCACCAAACTGTTTAACTTGCAACATTATCAATGATGTTTATCACCATTTTGATAGAATGTGCCCAGAACTCCAGAGAAAGAAAAAATTGTAATATACATTTGTCATTGATTGGCAGTATTAATAGTATTTTATCAGACCCATTATCAGAAAATGCCAAAAAACTTTATGTGTTAGTGTTAGTAAATAAGAGATTAAGTAATTAATAAGTTTATATAGTTCTTAGTATTTATCCCATTTAAGAGTTTTGTTGTACCAGGGTGTCGTAATCACTGCAGGGACAAAGCCCTTTTTCTAAGAATAAAAATAAAAAATAAAAAACTAAACCATAAATTTAACTGGAAACGTACATGCTTCCCTACCTATTTAGCTGATATCTATAAACGAAAGGTAAAGGTCTCCACACTTGCTGACCATCTGTGTGGATGTAAACATAAGATGAGAAATGTTTGTGAAAGAATCTTGTGTCTTTGGCGGCCGACTCTCGTCGCAATATCTGCATGGGATTTCTAGGAATTTGTTACAAAGGATTCAATAAAAACAGTCGCTACACCGGAAACTCGGCGTTACATCCAAATTCTATATTATGGTTATGGCAGGAATATGTTGGCTCAAACGGGCCACACTCTTACAGAATACATAAAACTGCAGCTTTATGCTCCTGTGTTACATATAGTGAGTATAGAGAACTCAACACCCTTTTTATGGAAATGGGCATACTACCTTAATCCTCAGGGGTGACAATGCATTTGCATTTAGATTCTTAACTAAGATGTACGATAAGATGTACTAAGATGTAGATTGTAGATAGACAGACATCTTCAAATCTACATCTATCTTTCGTTAAGAAGGGTGAGTATTTGAGCATTATTGTATAAACCAAGGATACCTGTGCGTATGTGGCGGGCGTGGTGTAGGCGGGCTTGGCGGCCGCGTCGTAGGCGGGCTGCTGCGGCGGCGCGGGGTAGGCCTGCTGGTAGTACGCGCTCTTGCTGGCGTCGTACGCCGAAGCGGCCGCCGCCGCCGCCTGCGCGTGCGCGTGCGCCGCCGCTGCAACAACATAGCCCAAGTTACAGTTAACCACAAACACAAACACGTACACGCGCGCGCGCGCGCACACGCACGCGCGCACACACACACACACATACACACACACACACACATACACACACACACACATACACATACACATACATATATACACTGCACCAGACATGAAGACAACACTGCTAACAAAGTCCCAGAAAAAATATACAAGGTCTCAGATTTTATGTTATTAAACAAAAAGGCTTATTATAATATAAATTAATACATAGTTGATAGGAGCCGTGGTAGCTCAGATGGTTAGCGCTCCGCTGTAAATTTCACAGTACGCTAGCAAACCGGGTTTGATCCCCACCGGCACCAATGAAATTGTTAATTGCAATTTTAAGTGCTGATTTACCACGTGCTCGGCGGTGAAGGAAAACATCGTGAGGAAACCTGCATGTCTGAGAAATAAGGAAAAAAAATATTTAGAAGACATGTGAAGTTCGCCAACACGCATTGGGGCTGCGCGGCAGACACTTCCTTGCCCTAAAACCCTCTCAGAAATGAGGGGAGGCCTGTGCCCAGCAGTGGGACGTATATAGGCTGTAACTTTAAACATAGTTGATAATAACCCCTGGGAATGAGGTGGTCACTTCCAAGGTTTCTTAAATTTGGTGAGTAAGTAGCCGTAATATCATAACCACCTGTTTGATTCCAATATGTCATGAATAAACTTTTAATGTTAGATGACTGGTTAACATGATATTTGCAAGTAGGCATAATTATACCTACATGTTGATCATGAACTGTTCTAAGCGTTTGATATTAGGTTACTCAAAACATGTTATGAAGGGTAATATTAAAGAAGATGCTGACTTCACTAAATAATTGTTATAGCTGATCAAACTAAAGTGTTATACTTTCAGTCAATAGACTTGTTCTGCACACCTTATAAAAGCCATTGCATATGGAAAATTGTATTCCTTATAGTCCTCTTTGTACTAATGTAACTGATATAGCAGTTAAATGCTGCTGTTTTGTACCGTGAGTGTAGAGAACCGGAAATTCATTTTACTACAAACAAGGCATTACATCTTAACCCTCATGGATGATAACACTTCTACATTTTAATTCGAAATTGAGGATAGACAGACATAGATGTCTATGGGTCACAGTAACCACTTACCATCAGGTGGAGTGTGTGCAAGTTTGTTTGCCTTATCCTAAAGTTGTTTAAACTGCTAACTTGCTAAATAATAATAATAAAAACTTTGCATGATTTAATACGTTTTTTTTTTTAACTAAAATGGCAAAAGAACTTCAGCATATCTGATGGTATGAGTACAGGCAATAACACCTAATGAAACACACAACTGTTTTCAAATAGGATAATTGAATTCATAAGGAAACTCACCATAGTGTAGTACACAGTAACACAGCCATAGTGCTATCTATTTTGACCCCAACGCCATCTAGGGAACATCAGGTAAACTGCACATATGAAATATTTGACAGTATGTCACTACTGCAGTCCATGGTCACCTGCAGCCAACATCAAATAAAGAAGACCAGAGATGCATTGTCACCTCTGAAGAATAAGATGGTTTGCCGTACAGGCTGTATAATTGGCTTTCTATACTTTTCAGACTAAAATAGAGCAGTGCAAGCACTACTTTATGACATAAATAGGCTAAGAGGGTGGTATACCTATCCACCCAGATGGATACTTAGGTAAGAAAAGAAGTGCTACCACCAAGTAAAAAACTAAATCACTTTTGAGCTTCATACTTACATTATGTTGTTAAACACTTTTACTATGTCATTTACATACAAAAAAAAATGTAAGACACCTATATTATATACAACCTGTATACAACATAGGCATAGGCATCTGTAACATTTTCATTGCTCTTAAGGAAATGTACACTACTATTTTTATGTTCCTTAAACTTAAAAAAATTAATGTATCATGTCATGCGTCAATTATAATTTTGTTTGTTCTGTTGCACAGTGACTTAGTAACAACCAAACTGTGAGCCTCAGGTTTGAATCTTGTACCGAACATGTATGGCCTACCCTCCCTCCCTATAAAGGCGATTTTTCTCAAAAATCATTCAATAAAACTTAACATAAGTTTACTCCTTTACACCTCCAGGTTCATAGTTAGAATATTTAAAACTTTTAGAAACAATTTTATTTTTTAAATAAAATAAACTTCAACTAAATATCTTTGATAACAATTTATATATACCTATATATTATATATTTATTTTGTTCTGAAGGGTTAATCTTTCCGAAATTTTAGGTATGTTTACGAGATACTTCATATTCGAGATCTAAATATAATCAATTACTTTGAAAAACTGTAGCGATGCAATATACTATATGACGAAAAATTATAGAGACAAGATTACATACAATTAAACGTAGCTCATGCAGCTATCAGGAGTAGGTATTGATTTTAGCAAAGCAAGAGGAATAACCTTAATAGCAAGTAACCGCCAAAGTGTAGCTAGTGATCAAATTATATTGTTTACTTTAAAATTTGACTTGAGAATATAATGTATATACCTTGTGTCGCAGCTGCGGCTTGATAGGCTGTATCGTAACCCGTGGCAGCAGCTCGCTGGGTGCCGTACGTCGCGGCTGTGGCAGCCGGCGCTACGGCGTACCCAGTCTGACCGCCATAAGCAGCCGACGCAGTCGCCGCGCTAAAACCACGAAACACTAGTTTTATCACCGAAGTTCACAATTTTCTACCCTTTATTCACGATCAATACACAATAGGCGCCATTTTGATTAGAAACATGAGCACAAGGCTGCGTATCGAACCTTCACGTTTGATTACGCATTTCAAATCGATATTTAACATTTATAAGTGGCTATTTACTCACCCGTATTGGGTTCCTCCATGAGTGAACCCAAAATAATTATTTGCTGCCATCATTTACCAATTCTCCCCGTAGAAACAAATACGAACACTTCAAGGCGGAAAAGAGGAGAGAGGAAATAAAAAGACCGGCGTTTTGTCTTTGATAAATTTAATATGGCGCTCACAAAGTCACAGATAACTATAGATACTATATATTAGCCAGAGACAAAGAATGGCATTCGCCTGTTCCAATTTTCCATGGAGGCTATAGAACAGGAGAACGATCGCCGTAGAAATAGAAAACAGTGCCCCAGTAGGATTCTCTGCCTACGGTCCCAGAAAATATGGACACCATAAGTGAGGCGCTACGATCGCTAAACACGCTCAATAAAAGTCATTTTCAGTCTATTTTTCCGATCAGATGTTAAACCACTTGAACATCCACGCACAATAAAATAGTTCTCCCTTTTTTAATATTTATTTTTATCAAAAATTAAAAAATTTCGGAGCATGAAAATTTTCTCACCAATGCACCGAAGAAAATTTATACATTATTCAACTAACTTCATCTACTTGTACTCATAAACAGCTAACTTCGCAGCCACCGACGGCAGCGCTGCAATAAATTCTACAAATTTTCAAGGAAAGGCGGGCTATACTTAAGTACGTAGCGATCGTTCTCCTCTTCTCTAACCTCCATGAAATTTTCTATGCTCAACGACCTATTCACTCAATAAAACGACTGGCATTTTGTCTTTAATAAAATTAATATCGCGCTTACCTACTTTTCCTTCACTTCACTCTCTTAGAGCAATTACATACATACATAGGCATACAGATAACTTACAATTCAACGTGAATTGAGTCAATATACTTGTCTCACTTTTTCTTATTTAATTTTCGAATTAGACAAAAATAGACAAATCTATTGAAAGATGTTGCGTATAATTCAAGCGTGGAAATAGAAATGTCAAGTGGTTATCTTTGGTTTCTTTATACTATGCTAAATATGAGAGTAAGTACATTCTTATGTTCTGATTTACTAAAAAATGACATCCCTACTAAGTATTAGGTAGTATTAAGAGTGACGTTCATGACATTACGTATTTAATCTATAGTGACTTCGTTCGCAATGTTACCAAAAATCGACTTATATACTCGTTTTAGTTGTTTATTTTTATTACTTTATATGCCTAAAATATTTAAAAATATAGGTCTAGAGTTATTATTAGTCAAACTATCAAGTAAATTGTTTTGTAAATCAAGTGATGATGATTATTATATTACATTTCAAATATTACTTTCTCAAACTTTAAAAACAAATAATTTGATAGGTACCAATACCAAGTCTTGACAGACAAACGGAATATGAGCTAGTTGGATCCTATTTGTAATCCCAATATTGTATGCTGACTAAAGATCCACCCTGGCTTTGCACGACTGTTTCCTAGATATCGACAATTCCATTTACCGGGTCCAATTGCAAGTGTCAATATTCATCGAAATCTGTCTAACATTTCTTAGGTATCTTTCATACACGGGGTGATTGATTTTTAGTTTTATAGATTTACCACTAGCTTAGCGGAAAATGTAAAACATCGATTATATTCAACAAAGTTTTATCTGTTTGGATGAAAATATTTTTAAGTCATGAAGGTAAGACAGAATCTTGATAATTCTGTGTAGTGGCAGTAAAAAAGAGTTCATGTCCTTCTACCAAATAATATATATTATTACTCAGAAGCTCTAAGACCCCATACCATCCCGTGAGTATCATAAAAGACGACAAAGAGAAATGAAACGTTAGATAGGCAACAGTACCTTCATGATAAAAACTCGAAAAAATAGCGTAAAATAGCAACTTAAGGTTCTTTTGTTTAGTGCAGAGAACTGTTGATCCTTTTTACTGGAAACAAGGCATTCTATGATATGAATATGACAACGCATCTGCATTTTATTTTTAATCTAGGGCCACAGGATCCACTAACCGTCAGGTGGGCTGTGTGCTCGTACGGCACCCTTATTCCATAAATAAAACTGTCGTAGCAGTGTCCTCTGTGTACGTTCCGTGACACAAACTAAGTGTGGATTAAGCAAACACAGTTTTTATTCCTTGTGAAACCCATACTAAGACAAAGGATAATTTGTCAGAAATATATCGGCTCAATTGAAGTAGATTTCATAGCCAACTTTTCACGATATATTTTAAATTATACAACGATAGTATGAAATTCTGCATTATTAAACTACGTTTTGTTGTAAGATGTCAAATGAAGCTTGCATAAACTTTCGTTGATATAAATAAGTATTAAGAACCGGATTAATAAAAAACCTTAATTTTACAAAGTCATAGACTAAATTAATTTATCGACAAATTTTTTTCTTTCGCTAATGGCACATCAATAGTGGTGTCTATGAAATGGAAAAATGGCAACCACCTTGTAAAAGAAAGAAGGTGAGAATCTTGTTAGAATAATTATTTTATTGCTTTCAAAATTTTTACTTCTACAATCACTCTCAACGTATTTTACGGCGATTTATCCTACCCCGAAGCTACTCGAGCGCTGTTGTGGAGAGTTTTTAAACTGTTATTTACTGCTTACGGATGGACACATTTTCAACTATGGGAGATTGTCCTCCTTACCTCTATACTCCATGATTCAACCAACTGGAGAGTCCATAGAATACTATAATACATACATAATAGAACGGGGGAGTGGGCGGAGCCCGTGTAGCCACTAAAATGTCACAAAAACGCCTATTCACACGTATTAATGTCAACAGGAGATGTGTTTTGACATTACAATCGTTTCCAAATTTCCCATGCAAATTATTTAGAAAATGCCAAATTGCACGCCATTTACAAATTAATATGTATTAAAATCTGTCTGTTAACACAGCGAATCGGGTTTATAGTAGTGATAAGACGACGTTATTGCTTGTATGTGTGCTCCCGCCGACGCTGAATCTCGTACAAAATAAGGTTGACAGCCATTCTATTGTATATTGTATTATACTATTCTATGGGAGAGTCCATGCGCGTTAAGTTCTAAACCATGGAGTATAGAGGAGGACAATCTCCCATAGGAGAATAGTTGAAAATATGTCCATCCGTAAGCAGTAAATAACAGTTCAAAACTCTTTACAACAGTGCTCGAATAGCTACGGGGTATTATAAATCGCCGTAAAGTACGTTGGGAGTGATTTTAAAAATGAAAATTTTGGCAGCAATAAAATAATAATTGTAAAAAGAAATATAGTGAAAGTTTATTATGCAATAAAAAGCTTATAAAAGTACTTTAAAATTTACACTGTACCTACAGTGGCGCCACCCTTATTTACAGTGGCGAAGCCTCCATAGAAGCCGAGAAGCCCGACTTGCCCTATTAAGCTGAATCAACCAATAATATCAAGTAATAAAATAACTCGTAAATTGTTTCAAACTATTTCAAATTTCCAGTGCGCTCTGTTCAACACAGGTCATGACCTCGTAGCCTTAGGGATACTGCTATATATATATATATATATATATATATATATATATATATATATATATATATATATATATATATATATATATATATTATTCCTTAATAGGATGGTCCCAACCTTTGTTTACAGTTACAAACCACTGTGTTGTGAAATAAAGATTTTGAATTTTGAATTTTTTTTGAATACTGCTGTCTACATATAAGGAGAGTTGAATTGAGCGATTGGTTGTCTCTCTCGCACGCGTGGGCTTTTTACCGGACTTTCAAGAAGACGATCGCTCCCTTTCTAACCTATGGCAAAATGTTCTATAATGAAATATAACTACGATTGTATAAATAGCAATTAGTAAGGAGATAAAATGCCCGGCTTTTGCTGTGAATAAAGTGACCGTTTATTTTTTCCTCAGAGCGGGACCCCTTTAAAATTATTATAGTTTTAACGCTTTTCACTGCCTTCTTGGTCTAATGGTCGTAAACGCAATTGCTGATCATGTGGTCCTAGAGAATGGCCGCCGTTACCAAAATTCAATCTGGAGCCCTTTAATATAGTTATATAAATAAAACACATAGTTGTTTAATGATCAGAAGTGAATTCTGAACATCAAATAAATACTAATTGGAAATAACTTATGTTATTTGATAATTTATTGTAGATTAATTAATAATTGTCCTTTCGTGATTTTAAATTAAAAAGCGTAGCTTTTCAGAATAATCATGTAACTAGTCAAGCCATGCTGGCAAATCTGGTACGCGCGGTATCATAATGATGCTACGGGTGACAGAGTTGTTTGCATGATTGTCACGCTTTTTTTGTCAAAGCTGGACATTTTTATGTATTTTGGGGACAGCGCGACACACACCTTTAAATCGGGAACGTCCTGCCTAAAGTGGGACGTATGGTCACGTTAGGTATGAAGTTAGTCGAGAGCGGCGGCGCGCGGGTGACGCCGGCGATATGTTTGCAATTTCACGTCACATTTCAATGTTAACATTGTGTGTTGAGCTTGAGCGAATGCATTATATAAAATATTGCAAGTTGAAAATTTATGCTTTTTTTAGTGAAAATGGAGGGAAAGAGTGTTCCTTGTGATGAAATGAAGTGTGTTAAAGTGCTAATCGGCGAGAAAAGGTAAAATCTTTAAACTTTGTAGAGAAAAAACAGCTTATATCCTCGCCGAAACCAACTCCTGATTTGTGCATTTCTCAGACGAGTAAAACCCACAAACGCTAATTTAATAGATCTGTATACAAACTCATTGGATTGTTGGCTGCTCACATACCAATAAGTTGTACTGTTGGTGTTGTATATTCCTTTCCAACGACAAAACGGCTTGGAATACTACTGGATATGATGATTTAAATAACTTATCTGGAGCCATTAAAACGCATATGAATTCTCGAAAACACATTAATGCGGTAATTTTGTTTAGTAATTTTGGAAAAAATCGGATTGAAACATATTTGTCGCGTCAGTTATCAGAGGAAATTACAAAACACAACATACGTGTTGATCACAACCGTAGTATTTTTCAAAGATTAGTCGATATTGTTTGCCATTTAGCACAACAAGAACTTCTTTTC